CTAGGCGACGGGTCAGACTAAGAGCGGTTCAAAAACCCCTTATGGAAGAAGTATATTCAAGGACGGTGACGTCGCCCGGTATGGCGCAGCCAGGGCCCCACCCTGGAGCCAGGCCCAGGGTTGGGGCTCGTATGCGAGCGCCTGACGGCCGGGCCCTGTGGGGAGACCTCTCCCCACGGGGCCCGGCCGGGCTCAGCCCGAAGGAGCGAAGTGGGACCATCTTCCCGTGGGCTCACCACCTGCAGGAGGAGCCGTAAGGGGCCGGTGCAGAGAGGATCGTGTGGCAGTCTAAGGCAGGGGCCTCGGCAACCCGATCCCTGGACACGGAAACTAGCCTTAGGGACATGGAACATCACCTCGCTGGCAGGGAAGGAGCCCGAGACTGTGCTTGAGGTTGAGAGGATCCGACTAGAGAGTCGGGATCACCTGTATGCATGGCTTGGGCTCTGGAACCACACTTCTTGAGAGAGGATGGACTCTTCGCCACTCTGGAGTTGCCCATGGTGAGAGGCGGCGGGCTGGTGTGGGTTTATAGCCCCCCAGCTCAGCCGCCATGTGTTGGAGTTTACCCCAGTGAACGAGAGGGTCATTTCCCTGCACCTACGGGTCGGGGATAGGTCTCTCACTGTCGTGTGTGCCTACGGGCCAAACGGCAAGTAAAGGATGCAGTCAAGCTGAAGAAGGAGTCCTATCGGGCCTGGTTGGCAGCTGGTTGGAGGCAGAGTGTGTGGCAGCTAGTCGGAGGCAGCTGACAGGTACCGGCAGGCCAAGCGGACTGCGGCCCGGGTGGTCGTGGAGGCAAAAACTCGGGCCTGGGAGGAGTTCGGTGAGGCCATGGAGAAGGACTATCGGCTGGCCTCGAAGATATTCTGGCAAACTGTCCGGTGCCTCAGGAGAGGGAAACAGTCCCCTACCAATGCTGTTTACAGTAGGGGTGGGCGGCTGTTGACCTCGACTGGGGATGTCGTCGGACGGTGGAAGGAATACTTCAAGGACCTCCTCAATCCCGCCGTCACGTCTTCCATTGAGGAGGCAGAGACTGGGGGCTCAGAGGTGGACTCCTCCATCACCCTAGCTGAGGTCACCGAGGTAGTCAAGAAATTCCTCGGTGGCAAGGCACCGGGGGTGGATGAGATCCGCCCTGAATACCTCAAGTCTCTGGATGTTGTGGGGCTGTCTTGGTTGACACACCTCTGCAGCATTGCGTGGCGGACGGGGACAGTACCTCTGGGTCTGCCATCCCAAGACCACCCCGGTCTGCCATCCCAAGACTAATGCGTTCCCTCAAGAAACTTTGCGTTCGAAAAAAAGACTAATGGGTTCCCTCAAGAAACTTTGCGTTCGAACACAAGACCAATGCGTTCCTTCAAGAAACATTGCGTTCGAACACAAGACCAATGCGTTCCCTCAAGAAACTTTGCATTCCCTTTCAAAACTAATGTGTTTCCTCAAGAAACTTTGCGTTCGAACACAAGACTAATGCGTACCCTCAAGAAACTTTGCGTTCGAACACAAGACTAATGCGTTCCTTCAAGAAACTTTGTATTCGAAAAAAAGACTAATGCGTTCCCTCAAGAAACTTTGCATTCGAACACAAAACTAATGAGTTCCCTCCAGAAACTTTGCCTTCGAACACAAGACTAATGCATTCACTCAAAAAACTTTGCGTTCGAACATAATAGGAACATGTTTGTTTAAAAAACTGAAGGTACGAACAAATACTAGATGTAGAACTATCTCTGTAAGAGGAGTGAATTTATGGAATTGTTTGCATATAGATCTAAAATTGACACAAACAATAAGTGGATTTAAACGGCTCCTAAGAAACAAGATGATACTTTCATATAGATAGGTGTGGGTAATTAATATCTATGACTTTGTTGTTTCAAGTGTTGCAAGAAGAGAATTGAGCACTTTTTGACTGTTGTAAAAATTGAGAGGGATAGGCGTCAATAACCCTTGAGCTTCAGCCTATACCCTTTGGTTTAATCAAAAGTTATGTTTATGATGAGTTGAATATTTGTTCTTGTATATTTGTTAATGATAAACCAAATAAAATAAAATAATAAGATGCTTTTAGCTGATTAACATTCTCACTGCATATGTCCATGAGGAGAAGAGATGAAGAGAAATGTGAGCAAAGGTTGAGCCGTGGCAAAAAGCCGAAGCCATGTCACAGTGATTTTACCACAGTAAAGATGTTCTGATGAGTGTGTAGTAAAAGAACAGCGAGAGAGATGAGACGAGAGAGCATGCAATTTAATTTGATATGTAATTTTAATAGCAGCTCTACTTAATATTTGATTTACATTTTTAAAGTCTGATGCACTGTGTGTTTCAGAGTGAACCATACAAGCCATTTCATTTTCATAATTATCATTATATTATTTAACATTAAATTGTCATTGTTTTGTTTTACATTAAAATGTTAATTTACAGAAGTAATATATTTCTTTTTTAATATTTATTCAGACCTGTGTATATTTGAATGTGTCATTCTGTATGTCATTATTGTAATCATCAAATATAAAAAAATTACATTACAATTTTAATTTATTACTTATCAGTTAAAACATAGTACTACTTCTACTACTAATAATAATGATTATTATTATTGACATCAGAGAACAGTGAACACACAATTGGATTGATATTAACAATTTACAAATTAACAAAAAGGAAAATCTCTGGTAAATATTTGACATCTAAGGGGTTCGGCTGATGAAACTGCTACACTAGCGTGATTTAGCTGCTAACGTCTGATTTACAGTAACTGAGGCAGAGTGTGTGTGTGATGTGTGTAACAGCTGTCAGAGGATGATCATATTTTCCATTTCTCCTCATTGTCTGTAACTGACGGCACACAACACACACAACTGTTTCTGTCGCACTCGTGACCCACAGCACTCACGTGAAACACACACACACACACACTCACGCACTCTCTCTCTGACACACACACACACCAGATTGTGCCGTAAGCTGCGTCTCCTCGTTTAGACAAACACCTCCAGCGTATCCCAGAGTTCCTCTGTCAAATCACACATAATTACCACCTTCATCTGAGAGCGAGACACAAAACCTGCTCTATTTTCAGCAGCAGCTTGTGTGTGTGTGTCGCCGGACAAGATGAAGAGAAATGTGAGGTCATGAGGTCATCAATCACATCTGGAGTCTGTTCACATTCACCACAACATCAGTTTTTAGACTATATATTGCGTTTCGCAATCTGCGCCGTTCATCTGAACTATTATTATATATACAAACCCACTTTATAATCACATTTATTTGATGCTTAATAAAAGATGGAAGTGTATTGTCACAACATGAACACAAGCGTGACATATATACACACATTTATATATACACATGGACACACACACACACACACACAATCAGACTTACACACACACACACTGATTACAGGAAGTGCAGAGGAGGGGGCGGGTCCGATTACAGGAAGTGCAGAGGAGGGGGCAGGTCCAATTACACAAAGTGTAGAGGAGGGGGGGCGGGTCCTAATACAGAAAGTGCAGAGGAGGGTCGAGTCCTATTACAGGAAGTGTAGAGTAGGGGGAGGGTACTATTAAAGGAAGTGCAGAGGAGGGGACGGGTCTGATTACAGGAAGTGCAGAGGAGGGGGCGGGTCCAATTACAGGAAGTGCAGAGGAGGGGATGGGTCAGATTACAGGAAGTGCTGAGTAGGGGATGGGTCCTATAACAGGAAGTGCAGAGGAGGGGGCGGCTCTGATTACAGGAAGTGCAGCGAAAGGGGCGGGTCTGATTACAAGAAGTGAGGAGGGGATGGGTCCTATAACAGGAAGTGCAGAGGAGGGGGAAGGTACCATTACAGGAAGTGCTGAGGAGGGGATGGGTCTTATAACAGGAAGTGCAGAGGAGGGGGCGGCCCTGATTACAGGAAGTGCAGAGGAGGGGGCGGCTCTGATTACAGGAAGTGCAGCGGAGGAGGCGGGTCTGATTACAGGAAGTGAGGAGGGGATGGGTCCTATAACAGGAAGTGCAGAGGAGGGGGCGGGTCCCATTACAGGAAGTGCAGAGGAGGGGGTGTGTGATTACAGGAAGTGCAGAGGAGGAGGTGGGTCCGATTACAGGAAGTGCAGAGGAGGCGGTGGGTCCGATTACAGGAAGTGCAGAGGAGGGGGTGGGTCCCATTACAGGAAGTGCAGAGGAGGGGATGGCCCTGATTACAGGAAGTGCAGTGGAGGGGGCGGGTCTGATTACAGTGAGTGCTGAGGAGGGGATGGGTCCTATAACAGGAAGTGCAGAGGAGAGGGTGGGTGCGATTACAGGAAGTGCAGAGAAGGGGGCTGGTACCATTACAAGGAGTGAAGAGGAGGGGGTGGGTCCGATTACAGGAAGTGAGCAGCTGTTTCTGTCCCCGTCTCCTCTTCACCAATGGTCTGTTCTCCATCTCTACAGTGCAGCACAAGATCTTATCCTGGTTCAGACTGATAAATATAAAAAATATGAAATATCATCTTACTAAGACATCTTATTGGCAGATATAGAGTGACAAATAATATTTATATGCATTTTATGTACGTACCTGCTATAAAGATCTCATCGATTTACATTACAATCTAACTTTTTTCATTTTTTTTCCTGAATAAAACTGTTTTTCGTCCATTTTTCACTATATCAGACTAGATGCATCAAATATGACACTCAATAAAAAAGCACATTTGCAAACTATTTGTTTTTAGATTTTTTATTGTTTCGTCGAATGGTTTAATCAATGTTCCATTTAAAAAATATATATTTTCTTATGATTTTCATAGGGTTAAAATGATTGCATATGAATGTAAATATGATATGCATATAAACTGCATATGATGTGTGTGAGAATCAGTGTTTCTCATCCAGCGCTGAATAGTTAAAACGCACATAAGAACTGATGCATGATGGGAAACACGAGCTTCAGTCGAGAATCAGACAGAATCAGACTTCAGAATAGTCATATGGTTTTTGCTTAGAATAAATGAACATACCATCACAGCCAGATACTTAAACTCACATGAGCCCAAACAGACACACACACACACATTCCTTCTCCTCCTCTTCATTGCCAGGGTCCCCAGGCTCCAGCGGCCCCGGGGTCACAGCGGGGGTCATCGGGGGGGAAGTCGATGGGTCGGGCCTGGTTCTGGTACTCCTGTAAGCGCCGAAGCAGGAACGCCACAAGCTCCGGGTGCTGATGGGAAACCTCCACTCGCTCCTCGGGATCCGTCTCGATGTTAAACAGCATCACCGGCTTCAGCGGCTCCGACGCCTTCAGCACATGACCAGCAGGGGGCGCGAACCACAGAGGACAACCTGAAGGAAACCAAAGAGGTCAACCTGAAGGAAACCACAGAGGACAACCTGAAGGAAACCACAGAGGACAACCAGAAGGAAACCACCACAGAGGACAACCTGAAGGAAACCCACAAAACATTTTGGCTATGTATGTAACCTTTGATTCCTGAGTAGTATCCCCGTGAATATCGATAAGGAAACACTGAGCGGCAGAAACACTGGCGGCAGAAACAATGAGTGGCAGAAACACTAGAGAGGTTGAAACATTGAGAGGCAGAATCACTGAGCGGCAGAAACACTGAGCGGCAGAAACACTGAGCGGCAGAAACAATGACAGGCAGAAACAATGAGCGGCAAAAACACTGAGAGGCAGAAACGCTGAGCGGCAGAAACGCTGAGAGTCAGAAACGCTGAGAGGCCGAAACACTGAGAGGCCGAAACACTGAGGGACAGAAACACTGAGAGGCAGAAACACTGAGAGGCAGAAACACTGAGCGGCAGAAACACTGAGCGGCAGAAACACTGAGAGGCAGAAACACTGAGAGGCAGAAACACTGAGGGGCAGAAACACTGAGGGGCAGAAACACTGAAAGGCCAAAACACTGAGAGGCAGAAACACTGAGCGGCAGAAACACTGAAAGGCCGAAACACTGAGAGGCAGAAACACTGAGCGGCAGAAACACTGAGCGGCAGAAACACTGAGCGGCAGAAACACTGAAAGGCCGAAACACTGAGAGGCAGAAACACTGAGGGGCAGAAACACTGAAAGGCCGAAACACTGAGAGGCAGAAACACTGAGCGGCAGAAACACTGAGCGGCAGAAACACTGAGCGGCAGAAACACTGAAAGGCCGAAACACTGAGAGGCAGAAACACTGAGGGGCAGAAACACTGAAAGGCCAAAACACTGAGAGGCAGAAACACTGAGCGGCAGAAACACTGAAAGGCCGAAACACTGAGAGGCAGAAACACTGAGGGGCAGAAACACTGAGAGGCAGAAACACTGAGGGGCCGAAACACTGAGGGGCAGAAACTCTGAGCGGCAGAAACGCTGAGAGGCAAAACACTGAGGGGCAGAAACACTGAGAGGCAGAAACACTGAGGGGCAGAAACACTGAGGGGCAGAAACACTGAGTGGCCGAAACACTGAGGGGCAGAAACGCTGAGGGGCAGAAACACTGAGAGGCCGAAACAGTGAGGGGCAGAAACACTGAGGGGCAGAAACACTGAGTGGCCGAAACACTGAGTGGCCGAAACACTGAGGGGCAGAAACACTGAGGGGCAGAAACGCTGAGGGGCAGAAACACTGAGAGGCCGAAACAGTGAGGGGCAGAAACACTGAGGGCAGAAACACTGAGAGGCCGAAACATTGCGGGGCAGAAACACTGAGAGGCAGAAACGCTGAGGGGCAGAAACATTGAGAAGCAGAAACACTGAGCAGTAGAAACAATGAGCGGCAGAAACAATGAGCGGCAGAAACACTGAGAGGCAGAAACACTGAGCGGCAGAAACGCTGAGAGGCAAAAACGCTGAGCGGCAGAAACAATGAGCGTCAGAAACGCTGAGAGTCAGAAACGCTGAGAGGCCGAAACACTGAGCGGCAGAAACACTGAGGGGCAGAAACACTGAGGGGCAGAAACACTGAGAAGACGAAACACTGAGGGGCAGAAACACTGAGAGGCAAAAACACTGAGGGGCAGAAACACTGAGGGGCAGAAACACTGAGAAGACGAAACACTTAGGGGCAGAAACACTGAGAGGCCAAAACACTGAGGGCAGAAACACTGAGAGGCAGAAACACTGAGCGGCAGAAACACTGAGCGGCAGAAATACTGAGAGGCAGAAACACTGAGGGGCAGAAACACTGAGAGGCCGAAACACTGAGGGGCAGAAACACTGAGAGGCCGAAACACTGAGGGGCAGAAACACTGAGAGGAAGAAACACTGAGTGGCAGAGACACTGAGTTGTAGAAACACTGAGGGACAGAAACACTGAGGGACGGAAACACTGAGGGGCAAGAAACACTGAGGGGCAGAAACACTGAGTGGCAGAAACACTGAGGGGCAGAAACACTGAGAGGACGAAACACTGATGGGCAGAAACACTGAGAGGCCGAAACACTGAGGGGCAGAAACACTGAGAGGCCGAAACACTGAGTGGCAGAAACACTGAGAGGAAGAAACACTGAGTGGCAGAGACACTGAGTTGTAGAAACACTGAGGGACAGAAACACTGAGGGACGGAAACACTGAGGGGCAGAAACACTGAGGGGCAGAAGCACTGAGAGGACGAAACACTGCGAGGCCAAAACACTGAGGGGCAGAAACACTGAGAGACAGAAACACAGAGCAGCAGAAACACGGAGCAGCAGAAACAATACGCCTTATTCACGGTAGCGCCATCTTTGATTTTTAATGAGAATGAAAGCGAGGCTGTGAGGGATAGACTTGCATCTCTTCAATGGGCTTTACTGTTATTTAATGTGTTTTCGGATTGTTCTGCTCATGAAACACTGGAAAAATATCTTTCCAAAAAATGTCAGTTGACAAAAAACTCCCGACAATGTAAGCTGTGGAAAATTGTAAGTAATCTAGCTGCTTTACTCAGCTTTTTACAGCGGATGCCATTGAAAACACGGTAAGTCTATCCCTCACTTTCATACCTGTCGTGGCGCTGCTCTGAATAAGGTCTATGAGCAGCAGAAACACTGAGAGGCAGAAACAATGAAGGGCAGAAACACTGAGAGGCAGAAACACTGAGAGGCCGAAACACTGAGGGGCAGAAACACTGAGAGGAAGAAACACTGAGCGGCAGAAACAATGAGAGGCAGAAACACTGAGAGGCAGATACACCGAGGGGCAGAAACACCGAGAGGAAGAAACACTGAGAGGAAGAAACACTGAGAGGCAGAGACACTGAGAGGAAGAAACACTGAGAGGCAGAGACATTGAGCAGCAAAGACACTGAGCGGCAGAAACACTGAGTGGCAGAGACACAGAGGGGCAGAAACACCGAGAGGAAGAAACACTGAGAGGAAGAAACACTGAGAGGCAGAGACATTGAGCAGCAAAGACACTGAGCGGCAGAAACACTGAGCGGCAGAGACACTGAGGGGCAGAATCACTGAGCGGCAGAAACTGGTTCGGAACTGGTGCTGGTTCAAAGTTGGTTCAACTTGCTTCAAACCCTTCTCAGAACCTGTTTGTTTTTCCACTGACTAGAGAGCCCAGCGAATGACGTCGTTACGTCACTGTGTACGTCACCATATGTGACGCTTTCCCTGAAACTCTGAAACTGAAACTGACGCTTTTCCTGAAACTGACACACACTTTCCATGAAATGCTTGCGACAACTTTAAGCATAACAATTACAATGGTGGGCTACATCGTCTTTCTGCAAATGTTTCCCCTGGCTTTTCGATCCTATAATGGGGTCAGACTATCTTCCAACTAGAACTGAGAGGCAAAACCACTAAAGGCAGAAACACTGAGAGGCAGAAACACTGAGAACACTATGGTATTGTTATTGTATAGTCAACTCATTAATTAAATATTTACCATCATATATTCTGCATAACTAGATGTTTTTAAATAAAACTGACAAGAAACTACACAAATTTTAGGGCTGGACAATATGATGATATTTATAATATTGATATAAGTGATCACATGGATTTAAACATATATTGTATTTATATAAAGCAATCACAGGCAAATTTGCTTTATGTATTTCCCCGGCGTGGAAATCAGGCTCATATAAATGTCATGAAATACGATTCCTGCTGCATGTCGATATGTCCACCTTATAACCTTTAACAGCACAACTTCCCTTTCATGATGACTTTACCTGGATAACCCGTCAGAAGCTTCCAGTTCTTGTAGCGAATGGCGGCATGAACCGAGATATTAAACTCTGAACGCGACCCGGGTGCGACGGGTCGAGATGCTGACGAGTGTAAAGAGTCCTGCAGGAACTCCCCCGATACATCATCACCTGGACCTAAAAGAGACACACAGCTCATGTGTGATCGGGAGTAAAACCTGGTTCTGGTCTTAGTGTAAACTGGTCTTTCACTCACATGGCGAGTCGTCCACGAACAACGGGTCGATGTTGTGCAGAAGCTCAACCCGAGGAGAAGCTTGACCACGACTGAAACAAGCACACACACACACACACACTTCCATTAAACCTGAAATTTAAATCTCTTAAGAAAACAAAATTGACTGCCATTTAAATCTCTTAACGAAACAAAACAGACTGACATTTAAATCTCTTACTGAAACAAAAGTGATTGACATTAACAAAATAAAACTGACCGACATTTAAATCTCTTAACTAAACAAAAGTGAACGACATTTAAATCTCTTACTGAAACAAAACAGGCCGACATTTAAATCTCTTAATGAAACAAAAGTGACCGACATTTAAATCTCTAAACGAAACAATGACCGACATTTAAATCTCTTAAAGAAAACAAAACTGATCGAAGAAAACTCTTAATGAAACAAAAACGACTGACATTTAAATCTCTTAATGAAACAAAAACGACTGACATTTAAATCTCTTAATGAAACAAAACCAAGCGAATGACATCTAAATCTCTAAATGAAACAAAGCCGACCGACATTTAAATCTCTTAACAAAACAAAACTGACCGACATTTTAATCTCTTAACGAAACAAAAGCGACTGTCATTTAAATCTCTAAACAAAACAAAAGTGAACAACATTTAAATCTCTAAACAAAACAAAAGTGAACAACATTTAAATCTCTTTACGAAACAAAAGCGACTGACATTTTTTAAATCTCTAAATGATAAACAAAACAAAAACAGATGACATTTAAATCTCTAAACGAAACAATGACCGACATTTAAATCTCTTAAAGAAAACAAAACTGATCGAAGAAAACTCTTAATGAAACAAAAACGACTGACATTTAAATCTCTTAATGAAACAAAAACGACTGACATTTAAATCTCTTAATGAAACAAAACCAAGCGAATGACATCTAAATCTCTAAATGAAACAAAGCCGACCGACATTTAAATCTCTTAACAAAACAAAACTGACCGACATTTTAATCTCTTAACGAAACAAAAGCGACTGTCATTTAAATCTCTAAACAAAACAAAAGTGAACAACATTTAAATCTCTAAACAAAACAAAAGTGAACAACATTTAAATCTCTTTACGAAACAAAAGCGACTGACATTTAAATCTCTAAATGATAAACAAAACAAAAACAGATGACATTTAAATCTCTAAACGAAACAATGACCGACATTTAAATCTCTTAAAGAAAACAAAACTGATCGAAGAAAACTCTTAATGAAACAAAAACGACTGACATTTAAATCTCTTAATGAAACAAAAACGACTGACATTTAAATCTCTTAATGAAACAAAACCAAGCGAATGACATCTAAATCTCTAAATTAAACAAAGCCGACCGACATTTAAATCTCTTAACAAAACAAAACTGACCGACATTTTAATCTCTAAACAAAACAAAAGTGAACAACATTTAAATCTCTAAACAAAACAAAAGTGAACAACATTTAAATCTCTTTACGAAACAAAAGCGACTGACATTTAAATCTCTAAATGATAAACAAAACAAAAACAGATGACATTTAAATCTCTTAATGAAACAAAAGTGACCGACATTTAAATCTCTAAACGAAACAAGTGACCGACATTTAAATCTCTTAAAGAAAACAAAATGATCGACATTTAAATCTCTTAATGAAACAAAAACGACTGACATTTAAATCTCTTAATGAAACAAAACCAAGCGAATGACATTTGAATCTCTAAATGAAACAAAACTGACCAACATTTAAATCTCTTAACAAAACAAAACTGACCGACATTTTAATCTCTTAACGAAACAAAAGCGACTGACATTTAAATCTCTAAATGATACAAACAAAACAAAAACAGATGACATTTAAATCTCTTAAAGATACAAAAGGGACTGACATTTAAATCTGAAACAAAACTGACCGACATTTAAAACTCTTAATGACACAAAAGCAACAAAAACCAACGTTTGAATCTCTTAACGAAACAAAAGCAACATTGAAATCTCAATCACACACATCTCGATTAAACCCAGAGCTCAACTGATCATCATGACTTTACTTAAATAAAATATCTAAACATTCTTACATCAAGAGGCATCAACAGGAGAAGCAGAATGACTCAAGAAATGATGTCTTGTTTTATAAAAAAAACTATCAAAATGAAGTGAGTTTGTGCTTAAAACAATGAAATCAGAATAAATAATCTGGTATTTCCTCTGAATTACGGTTATTTGCAATGCTTTGTCACTGGCAGGTGTTTAGACAAACCCTTTATTTTGAGTCATTTGTTCCCTGGTGTGGAAATCATCATTTGATCCTCTACTGATCAGACATATGTCAATACTGTTCAAATTGTCAACAGCCATCAAAATAGCACCAAAGTGTGGAAATATTGATGATGATGTTCACAGTCACCTGATTGTGTCCCACACATTGAAGCCGTCCAGAGGTTTGGTGCCATTGGTTGATGCCCCAGCCAGACCCACGATCGTAGGCAGCCAATCAGAGACATGGATGAGCCCTCGACTGACACTTCCTGGCTGCTCTATCATTGGCCCGGTCACAAAGCCCACGCCCCTGACTCCGCCCTCCCAGAGTGTCCACTTCCTGCCACGCAGAGGCCAGTTATTCCCCCCCGTCAGGGTTTGGCCACCATTATCTGCCCAACACAGAGGAAACAGCACCACCTTATGGACTGATCACAACACTTACTTACTCATGACACTTGCTTACACTGCAAAAAATGCTTTTATTACTTTTCTTACAAGATGAGTAAAATGTCATAAGAAACACTGTTTTGTAATATTGTTAGCTATTATAGAAGTGTGACTCCCTGTAACGCTGCTGTATACATTTAGATTTGTGCCTGTTGAATACTTGAATCTGATTGGTTGACAAACTTTCTAAGGTATGCAAGTATTTTCAGGGAAACGTACGGCTAAGGTAGTTCCGGCAGGTCTTAACCGCAGTACAGTTTCATATCACTGCGCGTAGTGACTGTGATTAGGAAAAATATGATACAATTCATAATAAGAAAAACCATGCGCTTGATCTGACATTTTCGATGTCTAAGTTCACAGTCAATGAAAACATGCAGTTTAATTTTAATAAATAAAGTATATAGTCCTATCTATAATAATAGAACATTGAATATATAAATAAATTGATAAATTGAAGAACTGAATATATAAACAAATTGATAGTCCTGCTGCACGCACGGGTTTTGTTATTATAACAAATAAATAAATAATGATAGGCCTACTTGTTAAAATGGCTCTGTGTTTAATTTATTAGGCAATTTTTTATTTTATTTATTATTTATCAGTGGCTCAATTTAACGTTACTTGCTCTGAGTGTGCCTTATTATTATAATATTTCAACGTCGTCAGTTATTCCTTTCACATGTATGTACCTGTGGAGAAGATGAGAACGGTGTTGTTCCACAGCCCAGAGTCCTGAAGAGCTCGGCTTATGTTCCCGACGGCTTCATCCATCGCCGACACCATGCCTGCGTACTTGCGCCGGTGCGCGTCCTTGATGAAGCTGTAGGGGGCGACGTAGCGCTCAGGCACTTGGAGGGGTGCGTGAACTGCCTGCAGCGCCAAATAGAGGAACAACGGCTGCCATACAGGAGGAGGAAACCTCATTATTCACAGAAACCAGAGATGCATTTCACATTTCTGAAAGCAGTTTTAAAATAAAATGTAGGGCTTTTCAAGACCTCCACAAATCATATTAGTACCACATGAGCAGGGAAGGGCAAGAGCAACAATAAAATAAGCATTTTATCTCTTAGTACGAACATGTCCTATCAGATTAGAAGTGGGCGATCTGGCAAAACTATCATATCACAATTTTTTTCACGATTCTTTTTTGTTGCTTTCACTATTTTGCAAGTGACTGAGCATTACAGCCAAACTAATATACACAAAATATAAAATAAAATAGAGATAGGCAGATATTAAGGCCAAATAAAAAAATATTTAAAAATAAGAACAAAGATACCCATGACATATACACAACATAATTTCCGAATTAAATAAACAGTGCTGTATGTTTTCAGCAACTGGTGTATTTATATTTACTCTCTCAAGTTGTTTTAAACCCGAATAAATGTATTTCTTCTGTTGAAAATTAAAGTTATTTTGAAGAATGTGGGTAACCATGATTTACATAGTCAACGGGGACCAGCAACCATTTGGTTAGCAACATTATTAAAAATACCTTATTATGTGTTCAACACAAGAAATAAATTAATACAGGTTTGGAACAACATTAGAGTGGGCAAATTAGACATTAGAGTGGGTAAACTAGACATTACAGTGGGTAAATTAGACATTAGAGTGGGTAAACTAGACATTACAGTGGGTAAATTAGACATTAGAGTGGGAAAATTAGACATTAGAGTGGGTAAACTAGACATTAGAGGGGGAAAATTAGACATTAGAGTGGATAAATTAGACATTAGAGTGGGTACATTAGATATTAGAGTGGGAAACTAGATATTAGAGTGGGTAAACTAGACATTAGAGTGGGTAGATTAGACATTAGAGTGGGTAGATTAGACATTAGAGTGAGTAAATTAGACATTAGAGTGAGTAAATTAGACATTAGAGTGGGTAGATTAGACAGAGTGGGTAAACTAGACAGATTGGGTAGATTAGACATTAGAGTGGGTAAATTAGACAGAGTGGGTAAATTAGACAGAGTGGGTAAACTAGACATTAGAGTGGGTAGATTAGACATTAGAGTGGATAAATTAGACATTAGAGTGGGTTAACTAGACATTAGAGTTGGCAAACTAGACATTAGAGTGGGTTAACTAGACATTAGAGTTGGTTAACTAGACATTAGAGTGGGTAGATTAGACATTAGAGTGGGTTAACTATACATTAGAGTGGGTAAACTAGACATTAGAGTGGGTAAACTAGACATTAGAGTGGGTTAACTAGACATTAGAGTGGGGTAACTAGACATTAGAGTGGGTAGATTAGACATTAGAGTGGGTAAATTAGACAATAGAGTGAGTTAACTAGACATTAGAGTGGGTTAACTAGACATTAGAGTGGGGTAATTAGATATTAGAGTGGGTAAACTAGACATTAGAGTGGGTAAATTAGACATTTGAGTGGGTAAATTAGACATTAGAGTGGGTAAACTAGACATTAGAGTGGGTAAATTAGACCTTCTTCGAGTACCTTCTCCGACCCGTGGCGTGTGATGATGTCCTCGGCTCTCTGAGAGAAGAGTTCTGTGGAGTATCGGCCCGTGTAACCGACGGCCGGGTCCTCCCCGTCCCGCAGGTCCAGAGCGCAGCGCGTCACGTTCAAAGGAGCGATCAGACTACATCTGTGATGAGTGAAATAATCCTCTGAACCCGTGAGGTATCCTGCACAGACACAGACATGAGCAACATAAGCATCTGTGCCTGCTTCACTGTGGCTAGGTTTACATGCAACCTAATCATCCACTAGTGATGGGATCGACGGATCAATCGCACTGATAATCCTTCATGTAAATGCTTTAATCGACCCGATTGAGCTCCATCCCAAAGGCATTTTCCATTACACTTGAAAGGAGTGTTTATTTCTTTTCTAATCCCATCGAGAGAACATGTGAACACTTGATCAGATTGAAAACCAAAATAGCGTAATGATGTAGAAATAGCGTGATGTAGAAACAGCGCAATGATGTAGAAATAGCCTAATGACGTAGAAATAGCTACTTGCTATTAGCAACACGCTTTTTCTACATCATTATGCTATTTCTACATCATCACACTATTTCTACTACATAATTACGCTATTTCTATATCATCAAGTTATTTCTAAATCATTAGGCTATTTCTACATCATCACACTACTTCTTTTGAGATTGAGATTGATCCGACAGTCCCATCACTAGCGGATGATTAGGTTGTAAACGCAGCCACTCAGGGACTGGGATCCTACCGAAGAAGGTCTGGAAGCCTCGCCGGGTGGGTAGACAGTCCTTCCGGAACATTCCCAGATGCCACTTTCCCACCATGTGTGTGGCGTAGCCGGCATCCCGCAGGAGCTCAGGAAGAAGCTTCTCGTCCAGAGGAACACAGTACGGCTGACAGGGCCAGATGATCTCGTGCTGCAGACCTGTGTGAATCTGAACACACACACACACACAGTATATATCACGGTATTCCCGCCCATGGTACAAAACACATGGTGGTTCTACGGTAAAATTAAAACACTGTAAAAAGTGTTCAGTTCACTTACCTAATTTTTTTTTGTAAACCCATTGCCTTAAAATATAATATAAAAAATAGATAAAATATAAAAAATCACTCTCCAGGATATCCGGAACGCAGAATCCCCGACAGCATTCAAAAGAAAACTCTTCTCTTCTGTGAGCACTTGGTGTAACGATCACCAGCTGGAGAGCCCCTAAGAGTCAGGAGAGGGCACTCAACGCCAGATGATCATGTTTCACACTCACAAACTACATTTCCCATAACTCACTGCCCGGACTCATCAGCACTCATCTCATTCACCTGTTTCTCATATCTTGTTTGGTTCACACCATAAATACCTTGTGTTCACACTCACTTATTGTGAAGTCTTGTTGTACTGTGTGTCTGCATTTCTGAGCGGTTTCCCGTGTTTTGTTTGTCTGTTTTCGACTTTGGATTGTTCTTGGGCTCTGATTATTGCTGCCTGCCCTGACCTCTGCCTGTTTCTTGGATTCCCTCTGTTTATTCTCCATTGTCCTGTCTGCTGATTCTTGACCCTGCCTATACGACTGTTTGCCGCTTCAGATCCAGCAGCCAAGAAAGAACCGAGATCCACCATGGACCTACTAATCAGTCTCTTCCGCCTCAGCCAAGGTAACCGATCAATAGAGGAATACGCTGAAGAATTTTGTGAGCTCTGCCATGGGGTAGACTTGGACGATGCAGTCTTAAAGGATAGTTTCCGATATGGACTTAAGGATATATTATATTATCTCATGCCTGATAATACCCCTCGATGGATTATGTCAGTATATTGAATTCACCCTGAGGATTAGCGGGTCATCCTTTTCTGTGGGCTTTGAGGAAGAGGCCGAGGGGGCGTTTCCGGAGACCATTCCGGTCACTTCTGCCGAGCCAGAGACGCTTCACGTCACTTCTGCCGAGCCAGAGACGCTTCACGTCACTTCTGCCGAGCCAGAGACGCTTCACGTCACTTCTGCCGAGCCAGAGACGCTTCACGTCACTTGTACAGAGCCAGTGTCTATGGACAAGATGGCCGCCTCCGAGCCAATGTCTACAGACAAGATGGCCGTCTACGAGCCAGAGTTTGTTCCTGAGCTAGTGTTTGTTCCTGAGCTGGTGTCTGTTCCTGACCCAGTGTCTATTCTGGGGCCAGAACCAGTGTCTGTTCCTGTGCCGGAGCCAGTGTTTGTTCCTGTGTCCGTTTCTGTTTCTGAGCATGTATCAGTTCCTACTCCTGAGCCAGGGTCTGTTCCAGAGCAACCGATGACTGTCCCTGGGTGGATGCCTGCTCCTGTTCCGTGGCCACCCGAGGGGTCTTCGCCGCCGTGGCCTGGGGGGGGTGGCTGTGTAACGATCACCAGCTGGAGAGCCCCCGAGAGTCAGCAGAGGGCACTCTACACCAGATGATCATGTTTCACTCACAAACTACATTTCCCATAACTCACTGCCCGGACTCATCAGCACTCATCTCATTCACCTGTTTCTCATGATCTTGTTTAGTTCACACCATAAATACCTGGTGTTCACACTCACTTATTGAAAAGTCTTGTACTGTGTGTCTGCATTTCTGAGCGTTTGTTTTTCTGTTTTCGACTTTGGATTGTTCTTGGACTCTGATTATTGCTGCCTGCCCTGACCTCTGCCTGTTTCTTGGATTCCCTCTGTTTATTCTCCACTGTCCTGTCTGCTGATTCTTGATACTGCCTATACGACTGTTCTTGAATAAAGCTGCATTTGGATCTTCATGTCCCGGAGCAGTTCGTAACACTTGGCCTCTTGAAAATTAATTTAAAAAAAATAGTCCCTTTTCCTATAACCCTGCGACTCTGGGCAATGTCTGACTATGGTGTTTGAGCTCTTCTTATGTTGTTTTTGCCTCTTCATGACGACTCGCTTTTCATTTGTAAGTTGCTTTGGACAAATGACTAAATGTAAATAAACTTAATGGTTAATTGAAAAAAATGAAGTTACGTGAACTTTGACAATTCCACATTACTTTTTTTTCGAGTTTATTTACTTAATTTTAAGGCAACGGGTTTCCTCATTTTTTTTAAGTTAAAGGTGGGGTATGTGATTTCCTTTTTTGAACATTTTTTTCTAAATAACTTGAAATCCTATTCGTAACCCATTTACTGGCTGTAAATTAGAGGCACTGAAATGAAAATTGAGCAATTTAATCATCTGTGGAACGGGCAGGACTCGAAAAACTCCAGCCAATCATTTTCAAGAACCATCTAGAATCCTTGGACACAAAATGCGTCAATCAAACGGTCTTACCAGGTATAAAACGGTCTTATAACTCAACGGTTTCACATCAGACGGTGACTTTCTTTACTTTAAAATGTATCTTTTAAATTGACAAACATCATATGTGTAATTCAGGGCACAATTCAAACCAGATCAAAATATTTGTTTTCTCTCGCCATTGACTACCATACAATATTTTTCTGAAATAAGGTCCCATGGTGGTCGACCGGAAGAGGAGGGACTTAGGCTCTCTATTACCCCTTTTCCACCCAAAAAGAACTGGTTCGGAACTGGTGCTGGTTCGGAGTTGGTTCAACTTGCGAACCCTTTCAGAACCTGTTTGTTTTTCCACTGACTAGAGCGCCCAGGGAACGACGTCATTACGTCAGTGTGTACGTTGCCATACGTCTTAGCTAGAAACGCTTGCAAGTATACAACATTACTTTGGGATTATCTCTAACTCGTGTAAGTCTCGTGTAAGATCGTGAAGTCTTTTAATCTTTTCGTTTGATATGTAATCTTTTCTGATAAGTTATGTACCCCTGTCTTGTGTCTTTTTTTATTTCCATTTATTTGCTCTATATTGTGACTGTTTTCTTCTTTGCTTATAATGTTTTCAATAAATATATATATATATATAGAAACGCTTGCGCAAACTTCAAGCATAACAATTACAAAGGCGGACTCCATCGTGTTTCTGCAAATGTTTCCCATTGCCTTTGCGATCCTATATTATTGGTCAGAAAAGATGTTTAGAACACATCTAAACCCGCCCCAGCCCCGACGTAAGCATGACGTGGTAAAAGAACGGTTCTAGTCCAGCAAAGAGTGTGTGCCGCTTTGGAACCAGTTTTCCTGGCCTCGAAACACAAAGAACTGGTTCGCGCGCAGGCACCGGCTCCGAACTGGCTCTCAAAATGCTTTGGTGGAAAAGGGGCTTATTAGGATTTTTAAAGAGAGATGTGTGAGGAGCTTGAGTTTGAACCAGGAGAGACTTCGACTCTTGCCTGAGCTCATGCTACTCCTCATCATATCAGAGAATGTCTAATTGAAGAGAATTGGCACTGGCTGTTTACTTCCGGGTTCTGGACTGGCTGCAGTAAGGCCGGATTCACGTATAGCGCCTAAAACGCGTAGAAAACGCTGGGCGCGCCGCATTCTCCATTTTCCAAAGCGCCAGGGCGGTTGCGCTTCAGTTGGTTCTTGTCACATGACCTAATTGTGTGCGTATGGTGCGCTTGCGGTATTCTGAAAAGTTGAGATGTTTTTATCTCGACGCGGCGCGGACACGCATGGAAAAAATGAGCGCGTCGCACCGCGTCTGCATCGCTTCCATTATGAGCGTGCATACCGCGCATCTACATTTAAAATAACGAACTTGAGCGCGCAAAAGACGCGATATGTGAACCGGCCCTAACACGTCTCTGTCCATGCGGGGGCGCTCGCGGTCGAGTGCAGAATGAATGGGAGTCAATGGGGTTTCACCCCCACAAATCCACTTTTCTCGGGATGTAATTTTTTTGTCAAGTAATTTGAAAGTTGCATTCAAAAGGGAGGGCTAAGATAATACACTCAGCTGAAAATTGCATTTTTAAGTTCACTTATCTGTTCTAAAAATCCGTTCAAAACTGTGATAACGTCACTCAATAGCAGAATGCTACCGTGTTCCGGCCAACAACGGCCTAACCTGTAAGAAATCAAAAGGACATAAGTACTCGTTCATTTGACTTTTGGCCTATAATCTATATTGAACTTGCGGAATCAACAATAAAATCTATGTTAATTTAACGACAAGCTGGTGAAAGAGACACTTTTAGCCGTTTAGCCCCATAGACTCCCATTCATTCTGCTCTCGGCCGCGATCACCTCCAGTGGAATTCTAATGGAACTGCAACCAGGATGATACACAATGGGGCTAATAGGAAGTGCCAACGCTCTAAAGCAATTAAAGTGATTAATATATGCTCATCCTTGAACATTTTCACATAATATAATATAATTTCACATATATAATAGTTTCACAAATATAATTAATGATGCTTGCTGATATATAAAAGTATACTCTATGTATTTATATTGCATTAGAATACGCTTTGGAATTGATAAATGTATAATGTATATCTGCTGGTAAACTGATATTTATGTACCCTCTCATTTTTTTTATTTTTTATTTTAATTATTTTATTTTTATTTTATTTATGTTCTGTTCTTGTTGAGGCATGTGAAATATGTTGTATGAGAAATTACAATGTACATGCTACTTGATGTTCACAATAAAGCATAAAAAAAAGGCTCTTCGTTAGACGGGCTCTGATCATATGTCATGTGTAGGGTCAGAGGTCATGCGTGCGTGGGGTAAGAGGTCACTCTTCCACCGGAACTCGACTCACGGCCAATGGAAGCCAGTGATTATAGTTTAGAAAGTTTATAAATATGGATATTTTTCTTCACTTCATAAGACATTTATTAACCCCTGGAGGCGTATGGATTAGTTTTATGATGGACTGATTTTGGGGGGGCTTTATCACTCTCACTGCCAGGCACCATTCACTGCCATTATAGCTGGGAAGAGCAGGTTATTTTACAACTCTGACTCTTTTTGATTGAAAGAAGTAAGTCCTTTACAGGATGACTTGAGTGAATAAATCATGAGAAAATATAATTTTTGGGAGAACTATTCCTTTAAACAAGTCCATGTTAAACATGTATTTTGCTTTACAGAAAAAAATTAAATAAGTTAACGTTACATGAATAAAAACTAGGCCTACAGTTGTATAAACTTGACTCCTTTTGAACTCTACTTCCTTAAATTCAAATTCAGGAAATGAGAATGAATTGTTTGTCAGTTGAGTTCAGAACTCTGATACCAACACCACAACATTTTCTCAGAGCATATGATAGCATAATTGATTAGTTATTAATGAATGATTGATTAGTGACCTGGTATCGGCCGGTCATCAGCTGGTTTCGGGATGGAGTGCAAAGCGGCTGAACATAGTAATTCTCCAGCCGAACCCCCTGACCCGACAGCCGGTCCAGATGAGGAGTTTTGATCTCAGACCCGTGATATCCCACATCATTCCAGCCGAAATCATCCGCCAAAATAAACACGATATTCGGAGGTTTGGCCGCGACTCGACTGACAGAAACCAGCAGAAAACACAGCCCGAGTTTCATTCTCAGCATCAGTTTCAGCCGAACACACACACTCCGATTCCTCTCAAAACGCTGAAGGAAAATCACACATATTTGATTAAAATGGAGCAATAAAACACTAAGTTACTTTAACTATACAGCTTCAGCTGGAAGCCACAAAAACAGAAGTCTCAGCTCATGAAAATTCAGTTGGTTCCTGATGACGTCGCGTTCTTCCTCAGAACCTGCCAATGGTGACGGAGTTCTCGTGAATATTAAATAGTTACATGACGTCTGCACTTCATATTCATTAACAAAGCGTTTCTTTTCTTATTCGTTGACATCGATTCTAAATAAATATTTATGCTAAAAACAATAATAATAAAAATGCACCTACTGCAGTGATATTAACTTTATTCCATGTGAGTTTCACTTCATTAAATTCAAATCTCACACCATCAAAAAAGTACTTCATTTTCATTTTCAAATAATTCAGTTTTGAACCTCTTTGAAACTTTCATTCTATTATACAAACTGTCAGAGAGGAGAAAGAGAGAGTTTATTGACATTGAAAAAAATACAGTACAAATACAGGAATAATTAGAGGTAAACCTCATACGAGAATCAGCTGAGATTGTGTTTTATTTTTAAGCTTTAAGTTCTTCTCTGGCTCTCTGTAAGACTCATCAGTTAATTAGTCACAATATGACTGTAATCATTCACAGAATCTGGACATTAAGACATGTTTCAGCAGCAACACAACGTCACAGTGTTTTCAGTTACTAATGCTTTTTATCATAGAATTAGACATTAAAAAAATCTGACATTTGTTTAAAGATTTTCACGTAGACGAAACGTTCACACAGGAATGAAAGTCTCGGCTGATTCAGTTGTGACAACATTGAAAGAAAGGTCAAAGGTCGGCCGGGTTCTCAGGTCTGGCTCTTCCTCTGCTGGCGGGTTCTGCTGGGTTCCGTGAGAACCAGCGGCTCCTTAGCAACTGTTGCCGGGTATCTCTGACCCAGAAGCTCCACCTCCAACTGTTGCCCCTCGACGATCAAATGGAGTGGCAGATACGCGAACGCCAGACTCTGATGAGCAGTGAAGCTGTAAGATCCTGACGTTGTGTTCCCCACCACCTGCACACACACACACACGGTGGTAAACTCTCACGTAACCTCTCACACACACATGCTCTTTAACAGCCTCTGGAGTCAGGCCTTCTCCCTCATCTAACTCTTTAAAGTCCCCGTGAACCGGAAGTTGCAAACGATTTTTTCTCCAGTGCTGTGACGTATTTCCAAGTGAAACGGAATATTGAACAGAGGGCAGGGTTTTACTCTAGCGCTCCTCCTCTCCATCTCTCGCTCAAAGCAAACTAACGGTTTGAGGGGAGTGGTTAAGCGTTTCCCCACCCAAACTGTGAAACCTACGTCATCAGAAAAAGAAACCGTTCCAGACCGGAAGTAACTTTTCAGATTTTGATGAAAGATTACTAAGGTAAAACATTTTTTTAATATATATTCACTTGCACGGATTAATTGTTCACCACAAGAATAGTAATATGCGCTAACAAAGTAAATAGGTTCAATTTTGATTTCACGGGGACTTTAAGCAGCTCTGGTTGACAGGCCTGAAGTACAGCCATCTAATGAAGAGAGATGTTAAATATGGATATTTTTCCTACACAAACGCATCGCTTCACTTCAGATGGCCTTTATTAACCCCTCGGGCCTGTGAAGAATTTTTATGATGAACAGATGCACTTTTATGATGGACAGATGCACTTTTATGATGAATAGATGCACTTTAATGAACGATAGATGCACTTCTATCATGGATAGATGCACTTTTATGATGGATAGATGCACTTTTATGATGGACAAATGCACTATTATGGTGATAGACGCACTTTTATGATGGATAGATGCACTTGTATGATGGACAGATGTACTTTTATGATGGATAGATGCACTTTTATGATGAATAGATGCACTTTTATGAAGGATAGATGCACTTTTATGATGGACAAATGCACTATTATGGTGATAGACGCACTTTTATGATGGATAGATGCACTTGTATGATGGACAAATGCACTATTATGGTGATAGACGCACTTTTATGATGGATAGATGCACTTGTATGATGGACAGATGTACTTTTATGATGGATAGATGCACTTTTATGATGAATAGATGCACTTTTATGAAGGATAGATGCACTTTTATGATGGACAAATGCACTATTATGGTGATAGACGCACTTTTATGATGGATAGATGCACTTGTATGATGGACAGATGTACTTTTATGAAGGATAGATGCACTTTTATCATGGATAGATGCACTTTTATGGATGACAAATGCACTATTATGACGACGATAGATGCACTTTTATGATGGACAGATGTACTTTTATCATGGATAGATTTACTTTTATTATGGTTAGATACACTTTTATGACTTAAGCACACACGCACGCACACGCGCACACACACACACACACACACACACACTCTTTACCTGTCCATTGTGCCAGACGGTCTCGTTCCCCTCGGGGTCAATGTCGTCAGTGTTCAGTGTGAGGAACGCCAGTCGACGCCTCAAACCCTGAGCCTTGATTTCCAGCAGAGCCTGTTTACCCACGAAATCTGCAGGCTGGAAACACAGAACCGGGTGAGATCTGGTGAGATCCGGTAAGATCCAGGTGAGATCCTGCTCACACCCCAGAGACGCACTGGGAGATTCTTATTACCTTATTGAGTTTTATGAAATAGTCCAAACCGGCTTCGAAAGGATTGGTGTCGCAGTTCATCTGTAAACAGAAGAACACACACTGAGATGAGACGAACGTCGACCACGTTTACATGTGTTCATTTCCCTGAATCACAGTGAGATGTTTATGAGAAAACTTTCAGCAAATGATGTTATGAAAATAAATTATGTTTATGTGTGTGTGTGTGTGTGTGTGTGAGAGAGTGAGAGTGTGAGTGTGCGTGAGAGTGTTTTGTGTGTGTGTGTGTGTGTGTGAGAGAGAGAAAGAATGTGTGTGTGTGCGAGAGAGAGAATGTGTGTGTATGCGTGTGAGCAGGACCTCGGCTCCCCAGGCTCTGAAGCCCTTCTCCAGTCTCAGTGAGTTCATGGCATATGTGCCGAAGTCGTCGATGTCCTCGTTCTGTCCCGCTTCCATCAGCGCCTGATACACAGACCTCATGTTCCTCATGTCCATGTACAGCTCCCAACCCAGCTCACCTACACACACACAGACACACTGCATGAGGAAAACTGCTAGTTTGTATAAGTTCTGTCCGTCAACCTGTACTGATCTACGGGATCAATGTCCTACTAAAAGTATTGCGGTCACAGATCAAAATATAATAAGTTTGAAGTTTCAGTTTTGTGCAATCATTTTTAATGTGTTTAAAGTTTTTATTCATTCTTGTTATTTTTTGATTCACGCTTATTATATTTTGATCCGTGACCACAATGTTATTCTGATAATTTTGCATTTTTTTTCCAGTTTGTGCAATATATGGCATTGACCGCACACGGATCACCTGTGTATGAAATCCGGATGGCTCGCACGGGGACGCCGGCAAGCTGAAGGGATCTGCACTGCAGGAATCTGAAACCCGCATCACTCATGTCCTCATCACTCAGTTTCTGAAGAACCGCTCGAGACTTCGGTCCGGCGACACCCAAAACACCGATCTCATCCGTCACGTTACACACACTCACGCGATAATCCCCATCATACACCTCGCGCTCGATCCATCTGAAGCAGATACCACCACATCACTATCAGTAACGAGAATAATAATATTATGAGTTATAAGAGTTATAAGTGTCTGGGAAGGTGTTGCTCTGAGGGTTTTTAGGCAGTTTCTTGTAATTTTGCATGCTTGTATTTTTGCAAACATTTTTTATGTTTTCTGGGTCCGCAGGTGAAAATGGTACATCTGATCTAGGAAAGTAGAAGCACCCTCTCCTTAAAAACACACATGATGTCTGTATTTAATGTAATATTCAACAATATTATTGATCTCCTGCATTGACAGACAGCATTATATGAGAACTAAACTGAGCTGGACAATGACATCACAGTTTTCTATAGAGCCGCTATACATATATATATATATATATATATATATATATACAAAGTATATATATACATATATATATATATATATATATAAACAAACTAAATTAACAACTTTTTTACAACATCACTGAGTCATCACTGGACTGTGATGCTATTCTCTTCTGGAAATAAACTTTGTTATTTTCCTGTCATCTCTGTAAAGCTGCAGTGAAACACTGTGTTGTAAAACGCTGGTGACTTGAGGAATTACTCAAACGCTGCAAGACGACACACACTCGACCCTGAGACTCACTCAAGGTTTCATCACTATTAGCTAGCTCTAGTGTAAGTGTGCATTAATTAAGTAAGCTGCAGTTATTAACTGCTCCATGTGTTAGTCTCTGTTAGTACTGCAGGCCACACTTTCAGTTAGTACTACACTTTCATCCAGGAGAGGGCGCTGAGTGTGTGTATGTGTGTGTGTGTGTGTGTGTCAGTGGGGAGGTGAGTGTGCTGCTTACTGATTGGATGAGACGAGGGGCAGAAACCAGACAGCTGTTACTGACATGCACACACTCACTTCTTCAGATGTTCTCACTTTACACACACTTGGCTCCCTTCTGCTCTTAGACAGTAGTAAATGTTACTGATGTGTGAATGAGTGAGTGAGTGAGTGAGTGTGTGAGTGTGAGTGTGTGTGAGTGAGTGAGTGAGTGAATATGTGTGTGTGTGTGTGTGTGTGCTATTGCTCGCACCGCAGATCGTGAAGCTCGGACCCGGAGCCTGTAATGAGCAGAAACTCTCCAGGTGTGATCTGGGTAACCGTGACCTCAGCGTAGACACGCCCCCGCGGGGTCAGCATGTGACTGATGTTGGTTTGGCCCACCTGAGGATCAAACATCATCATCATTCAGTCTGATTGCTTTTGGTGTCAGTAACAGGTGTTTTTACTCATAAACCGATTCTCTGTCCAGATCATCAGACACAATCTTTAACTAAACACAGATGTTCTGAGTGTTTTAGGCTGTTGCTATGCAGTTGCTAGGGTGTTCTGAGTGTTTTAGGCTTTTGCTATGCAGTTGCCAGGGTGTTATGAATGTTTTAGGCTGTTTCTATGCAGTTATGTAGGTGTTCTGAGTGTTT